GCTTTGGTTATTTCCCAGAGGTTTTGGTAAGTGGTGTTTTCATTATTATTTGTTTCAAGAAACTTTTTCATTTCATTTTTTATTTCTTCTAATACCCACTCATGTTTAAGCAAGGTGTTGTTCAGCTTCCACATGCATGGATTTTTTTCTCCTTCATCCTCTTGTTATTCATTTCTTATTTTGTAGCATTGTGGTCTGAGAAGATGCTTTGTATTATTTCTATGTTTTTTAATTTATTGATGCTTGCCTTGACACCTAAAATGTGATCTATTCTGAAGAATGTTCCATGCACACTGGAGAAGAAGGTGCACTGTGCTTTATTGGGGTATATTAGCTTATACATATTTATGAGATTAAGTTGGTTTATTATATGGTTTTACGTCTTCAGAATCTTTGTTGAGTTTCTCACAATAATTCTTAGAAAAATCTAAAACATCGTTAGACGTTTTTAGATTCATCTGTGACACCAACAGTTTGTACTCAAATACTAATCTAAAAGCTGTCATGCTTGCCAGAAGAAAGACTTGACTATCTGCTTCCACAAAGACAGCGACCAAGACTTCTCTGTAATACACATACTATTTAGCTTCTATTACTTTCAGATCGGCCTTCCCTTAACCTATTCCAATACAGTGTTCATTTTCTCTCTATTTATTTCCTGCTCTCTCCTTTACACTCTGCCACAAGCTATCTTGTAACAGTTGTCTTATACAGTATTTGTCCTTTTGTTAACATATAATTTTACTCAGCACAATATCCTCTACACTTATCCATGTTGTGTAATGCTTCATGAGTTCTTTAGATGTTATGTGTATTGCGATTAAGAACCTGGAACAGGACATATATTATAATTTAATTGGAATAGAGGAGAAAACGGGAACTGAATGGGAGAAAAATAAAGCCTTATCAAACAAAATAGTAATAAAATCCCAAAAATACCCAACAGAGTTCTTTGTATCACGTAGTTGTTTTATTAAGTGTTGTTGGGTCGAGTACAACTCATAGCAACCCTATGAACAAAATATCTGAAGCTAGTCCTTTCCTGTGCCATCCTCACACCTCCTGTGAGCCCATTGCAGCAGTTACCATGTCAGTCGACCTGATAGAGGGTCTTCCTTCTTCACCGACCCACACCCTTCCCAATATCATGTCCGTCTCTAAGGAATAGCACCTCCTAGCAAAATGCCCAAAGTATGTGAGGTGAAGCCTCATCATTCTTGCCTCCAAAGAGTGCTCTGGCTGCACCCTCTCCAAGGTATATCTGTTAGTTCTCTTGGCCCTTCATGGGATGTTCAGTGCTCTTCTCCAACAAAACAGCTCAAAGGCATCATATTTTTTTCCTGTCATCCTTATTCATTGTCTAGGTCTTGGATGCATAGCTAATAACTGGAAAGGCTTTGTCTCTTCTTTAAACATCTTTCATAGTCTTTAGCTATCAGATACCTATTTTGGTAAAGAGTTCAATTGAAGAAAAACATTTAAATATGTAAATGTAGGTTAAATAGTTTGGCATCACTTGAGACCAGTATGTAAAGTACTTTTCTGGAGAAGTAAAATGACTCCTAACTCTACTCACCAGGTGACAGCTTCTGTTAAGCCTGTATGCTATGTTGT